ATTATAAAATTCTACTTTCTAAAATTTAAAGCTTCCTGCATGGTCAATTGCTGTTTATGGCAACACTCTCCTATCATATATCTGGAAAAAAGCTTACAAATGCTGTGTCTATGAGATGGACTGTTACATTTTCAGTTGATCAAAAACTGGAGAAACAGGCCGTCTTTAATTAGACAAGCTTTGTACAATTCCACTCACTCTAATAAAGTTTCAGTACAACTGACTTCCAAGTCCAACAAATAAAACTGTATCTACTGTCCAAACCATGACAAAATAAGTAATATAAAAATGTTAAAAGAGAATACAAAAGCATCTTATCAACATTGAAATGGACAAAAATAATCAATAAAGACCAATAAAAAAGAGGACGTAGGGAAAAGTTTGGGGCAGAAAGTGACCACTGTCTTAATCTGAAATACCTTTAAAAAAGCCTAAAGATATTAAATGTGGGGAGTTGAGGTAAGATAAATGCCATTTGGAAAAGGGACCTACACCAAAGACCAAAACAGCAAAGTAAGGTTGCATTCCAACCCAGTCTTGCCTTACCCACATCTTAAATGTGGGTAAGGCAAGACTGCAAATACAGCTCCTTTTAGAATGAAGCCAAAAGGTTCGATACAGCAACAGCCAATACTGCTTAAGGCTTTAAAAACAAAAGTAATTAACATGTTGGTATGGGAAAGAGTTTGAAAAACTACAGATTACCATTGTAGGTAACCTGGATTTATAATATATTTTTTCCTACCCATTAAACTTAGTGTATTGCAAATCCAGGTGGTCTACACTACCTTTCAAGGGAGCTTTTCTGGCCTTGACCAGAAGTAAGGATTGGCACAATTTCCTAAACCTTTAGCTGCTTCTTAGTCCAACTGTTTAGGCACTGCCAAAGCTAACATAGTGCAACATGCAGTCTGATATGGCTGAAGTTTTTTTATGATCACATTCAACAAATGCCTTTAGATCACTGTTTGCCTTAAATGCCTGAGAAACTTAGTCTAGTCTATTAATTATTCTATTAGCCTCCATAAGAAATCACTTCAGAACTACTATTCCACTTTATCTTGGATTAAGCAAAGGTGGTGAATTGAGCCTGCTTGTATATGTTAAAAAAAAACCCTAAAAAGGGCTTTACCAAAAGAAGCAGCACATTACTTCAACCCAGCTCTGCAATGTCTCTATAGATTCAGCACTTCAGTGGGGCATTTTAGAACTTTTATCTAATAGCTGATTCAATCAGCTATTAGATAAAAGTGCCAAAAAACCCCACTAATGCACCTGATCTATAGAGGCATCAGGCAAGCCGGGTGCAACTAATGCACTGCCTCTTCTAGGCATGCGCTAGGCATGGTGTGGGAGTGTACAGAGTTTAAAGTAAAGCACTACTTTTGTGGGGGTTTAACATCTGCAAGCAGCCTTAAAGTCCTCATGTAGATAAGTCTTTAATCTAATTCAAGAATTTTTAATTCTAATTGTGGCCTTCAAAACACCTCTGAAACCCCTTGCAGTTACGTGTTATACCCAAATTTTAAAAGCATATTCACTAGATCATTATTGAAGTCATTAGCAAAAATACTAAATAAAACAGGGTCCAGAACAGAGTTCAATAGGACTCTAGTTAATATGTCCTTTCAGCATGATGACATACTCTGCATGTGGCTTCTCAACTAGCTTTGTACCCACTTTTAGACTGTATTTTCTAAGTTTGCTTATGACAATGTCATGTGGGATCATGCCAAAAAACATTACTAAAAAGTCAAGATATATCACATTACCATATGTCAAAGAAGAAACTTAGATCAACTTGGCAAATCTATTCATGATAAACCTGTATTCTCTGTTTCTCATCACTTTATTATCCTCCCAGTATTTAGAGACTGATTGTTTAACAATTTGTTCCAGTATCTTTCAAAGTATCAGACTTAGGCTGACAGATCCATTTTCCAAAGGTCTTTCTTTTTCTCCTGATTTTTATACAGTTTCTAAGTTTTCCCTTCCTTGGTCCCCTGTGACCACACCTGTTCTCCATGAGTTCTTAAAGATAATCACTAATTATTCACAGATTGCTTCATACAGCTCCTTAAAGTACTCAAGAGAAAATTTCATCAGGCCCATCTTTATTTGACTACATCTAACATTGAAATATTATTTAAATATTATTTTTTATGGCAGACATTCTTTGGAGAGTTTTCAACACATTTTGGGCATTACCACAATATAACAACAAAGACAAGGAATAAAAAGAAAGAAACAACTTTTATTCTGAAAATACAATCACTTTTCTGGAACCCAAGTATGAATGATACATGTTGGCTCCTTTTTTGAAAATCTTAGCCAAACTACATGTTCTGTATACCCAGAACTGTTTATGTTGCATGCTGCATTGCTATACCTGCATTCAACCATCTGCTTATTTAAAGTTCTTCCCTATTCAATGTATTAAGCATTTTAACTGTGATCCACATTTATTCAATACATGGTTAACAGCCAAAGTCAAATATTTTGTGCTTTGCTTGGAATGGACCTCTTCCTTGTGCTATTTTTATGAGGCATGCTGTTTAATTGTCTACCTGTGTCATAATGGGACATTGCATGAAAAATGTATGAAAAATTCCCATTAGCTTTACCAGCAAGGAAGATGTTCTCTCTAAAACAGAGATCAGTGAAGTCTGCGGTATTTCATTTTATGAGCTCAGTCCGAGAAAGGAAAGGAAGTTATATAGCACCTATTTCACCCTTTCACAAATAATCAGAAAGGAAAACAGTTTATATACTATGTTTTGCAAATGAATAATTTCTTCATGCATGTTAAAACAAAGCATTACAAAATACACAACAAAAATACACAAACCTGATTTGATCTTTATTCTGAGGTCACATTATCTACACATCCGTCCTCTTATGTATAGATATTGACAAAAATAATTTCTCCAAGAGAAAGGAATTAAAAATAGAAAACCTTTTCTCCCTAATCAACTTGAGATAATTATAGTTAAACAGCTCCACAGCAGCATATCTAGCAAAGGGTTGCTTGATACCAGGTTCAAAGACTTGTTGCTGTAAGTCTAGCACTTGCATAGGTCATTCAGAAGATTTTTACACAGCAGATCAGACTTTCCACATCAAATATGGGAAAAGAAGCATAGAAAAAGAGAAATTATGAATATCTGGATTTTTAAGATGAGTTCCCACATGCATACTCATCTGCCAGAAATACTCAAGCTTAGACTTTTTAAAAATACAGTGGGTATGTGTTCTGTCTCTCTGTACTCTTCACTGAATGTATAAAAGATGGTGCTACCTGGTACAAGCCCCCCAGGCTGCCTGGAAGCAATGGCGATGGGTAGGGGGTGCATAGGGGTTCACATGCACCCAGAGAGAGTGCTGGTGCACCCCCTGACAGCCAGTGTTCCCGGGCAGGGGGGCAGGCGAGAGCACTAGTGCCCTCCTGAGAGCACAGGCTGGGGAGTTGGGGTGCCAGGAGAAGCCATCCCTGTAGTCCCCCCACGGCTGATCGCACTCACCCGGAAGTGGAAGTAGCACGATCGGCCGTGGGGGGACCCTCCATGGTCGCTGACTAGCTGACTCAGGAGGCACCAGTCACCCATGCCTGGAAGAAACTGGATACATTTCTCAAATTTCTGTATTGTCAGACCAGACATGATCAGCATTTACCTGCCATCGCCTCATTGAGAATCACAGTGGATAACCTTGCTGGGCACACACTGTTGTAAAATATCCACACCTGCCTCCATTAAAGAACATTCCAGTTCTGAGGACACAAGCCCTCCTCCCCACTCCCCCAACCCCTTCACCCCTGCCACCCTACTTAGGGTGTAAGTATAAATAAACTTTGGGATGCCAAGACAGAGAAAAGCAATCCTAGGTGGTAGGTCCTAACTCTGCAAGCACGCCTTGAATATAAAACCCATGGTCATGTTGATAGGAAGGGGTACTAATAGGAATTAGACAAGGAACCACCAGACATATTCCACTGTGTGTGTGGGCATGCACCTCAAACACTCAAGCCCTTTATGGCTTCAGGGCAGAACATGAGAAGAGCCAGCATACGCACCTTGTGTAAGGCCTCCAAGCATGTTCGAGGTGCTTGCCCACATACATCGGAATGTGCATACAGACTTCAAAAAAGAACCAAGATATTACAGCTAACACTACTTCCAAGCACCATGAAAGATGTTACTGTACTTACTTGAATCTAGATGAGGTTTTTTCCCCCCATTCAGCATGGTGAAAAAGCCCTTTGTCTTAGATTCACATGCAAAGTGGAGGGTGGGAGGCAGCTGGATCCTACAGCTCTAACTCTGGCCCTGAGCCCAGGTTCGGGCCAGAATCAGACCCACAGCAGACAACTCTCCAATAATTAGATTTGGTACCTAGAAAATTATAACAAATTTATAAATTTTCCCTACATAGAATCTAATTATTGGGGGGCCATCTTAGGTTCAAGTAAATTTCGTAAATCCCAATTACAAGACTATCTGGAAGTCTGGAATCTGCATAACTCATACACCTTCTTGATGAAGCACAACATTTATGACAAAATAATGGACTTTCCATATTTTCAGAGGTATTTTTTTCTTACATGAAGATGTGTATTTTTTGTTGGTGCTGCTCCTCCAGTGCCAAATTTCCTGACCTGTGGGGAGTCCTACAGGCTGGGTGCCATGGCTGCATGGGCTGAATTTGGCCCACAGACCAGGAGATGAGCTTCTCTGCTCTAAACCGTTTTTACTGGTTAGCAAAATAAACTGAGCATATTATTATTCTACATTGCAGAGAAGGAATACAAACTTTTATAAAAGATGTAGCACCAAAATTCTAACAAGCATGTTGATTCAGTGATATTCTGAAATTTGAGGGAAAAAGGAAAAGCATCTCTCTTGGCCATCTTCATTTACTGTGAAACAAACTCTAAACTTAACCAAATATCCATTACTTAATTTGAATATATGTAAACATTTTGAATTAAGAAAGTATCTTACCTGGCATGATGATAGCCTGCTGAGTATTTGTGTCTGCATTCAAACAAAGGCGCCCACCTTTGGCCAACCTATCACAGAGCAAAGTTATGTGTTTCTTCAGCCTACTAGTATCTTTTGGCATGCTCAGCTGACTGGTAAGAGTCAAGGCCTGTTCTTTAGAGCTCTTGGAAAGACAAGTTCTCAATAAGTAAGAGATTGCAGCATCCACAGTTTCTTCCCAGCCCTAGATAAAAAGAAAAGAAATGAAATGAAATATAATAACCCTCCTTTAACTTGAACAAAAGGAAGAATATACAAGTCAAATTTCCAAGCAATGAGTCACTAACAAGTTTCAGTCTATATTGTGGTGTAAAATAGACTTTTTAATTTAATAAACTATCTTGAAACGAGATTTTTTTAAAGTTTGCATAGAATAACATCAACTAATAAATTGATAAACAGAAAATCCCCCCTAATTATTAAAATCAGAGAAATAATAATACAAATCCCAGAACAGTATCTGCAAAATAAAATTACAAGCTAAATCAAAGCTAAGCTCAATACCTTTATTTAATGTTATAAATAAGAATTTTTACTAGTAGTATTATAAGAATTTATAATTTATTTATATAAATAAGAATTTTCACCATTCTGGAAAAGCTCTAGAAGAGATTCTGTGTAAACATAAGTGTTTGCTACGATATGTTCGTTTGCAAACAAACTAGGGAGAGAGAAGAGTAGAGTTCATCCAATTGTATTGGAAATCACCATAAAAAAATCCTTTTAATTTAAGGGTTAAGTGTTACAAAGTATTTTTTTTCCTGTTAAATACCTGTGACGATTTTAAGATTAAAATAATTCCTAGCATTTTATGGTATATATTTACATAGGCAAAGACTGTTAGAAATTACAGCTGCATACTAGATAATTTAAGTAGATATGGCACTCATTACAATGAGCATAACAAAACTCCCTTTCATAGTCAGTTGTAGGTCTAGTCATGTGCCATATCACATTTAGGCATTTCTTATAATATTTCTTTATATTAGGAGGCATTATGCCAATACCACAGAAAGAATGCCACTGGAACCAAAAGTTATTACATTTAGTATCCAATCATAATACTCGTAGTGTGCATTATGGCTCCAATACAGCAAAGCACCAGCACATGAGTGTTTGAATTCTTTGATAAACAGAGGCCTATCTGATTTAGAAGAGAGTAAACCTGCAAAAGCTTTGAGTGACATGGATAGGTCATGGGGTAACTTAAAACAAGTGGCTATAGAGAGACAATGGGCATATCCACACATGCACACACATGTGGTGGAGTAGCTCAAATAGAAGCAGTGCAAATTTGAGTCAGGGCTTTTTGTCTCAGTGCACTTGCCTGGACATGTACTTTGGTGTGGCACAAATTCTGCCACTTGGGGTAAAATAACCCTGCCTGGCTCCTCCTGGATCTGCAGCTGGGGGAGCTAGAGCCCAGCAACAACACCTGTGCTTTCCCCAGCAGTGTAAAAAGCTGCCCTGTCCTGGCCCCATCAGTACAAGAAGCTGCTTTGTCAAGTAGCTCAGGCTACTCACTCTCAGGAGCTTCTGGGGCCCAGCCAATTGGTACCTGTGGATACTACCCCTTGTGCCAGCTGGACTGCTGAAGCAGCCGAGAGTTTCCTGCACCCTTACCTACTACAACAGTCTGGTAATGGGGGCTGCTGCCTGGCTGTGACCTGCTGCGCACCTGCCAGACCCGGATGGGGACTGCACAGCCAGTAGAGACATCTGCCACTCTGGGTCACCTGCCAGTGGGCTGTGGCTGCAGTGTTGGCTTTTGTGCAGGACTACTGCCATGTGTGCCACTTGCCTGGCCATCTGGGCAGCTATTGCTCAGAAGACATTCCCAGTGTGGTGGCCTGCTTTGAACTGTCAAAGCATGTCCTCCTGGCCCCAACTGGCCAGGAGGCCAGCCACCTCTAGCTGGGTCCGAAGTGCCAGCTCTGAGCAGGCTGCTCTGCCTGGGTCCTACAACTTGCCTCCCTAGCAGGAATTCTGGTGGTGGCTGTGGAGAGATGTGGGAGGCCATGGGTTGTGTGGGTAGGTGTAGATGGATTATGGGGGAATTGTGCAGGGGGGATGCTCAGGAAGGGTGGGTCCCTTGCTCCCCACAGCCCCCCAGCAAAGCTCGCAGGTTGCCTCCCACAGGGGCCACAGCCCCCCCCAACAAGGGTCACATGGCCCCCGCAGGGGCTACCACCCCCTCCTGCAGGGTCCGCATGCCCCACCCCCGCTTGCTCCCCCAGCCCCTTGAATGGCTACCCTGCCTGACCCATCTCCTGCCAGCTCCTGCAGCCCCCTGATGGCCGCATTGAATGGGGACAGGGATTTAAATCACCAAATCAAATCATTGTCCTCTGAATCAGCCAAATCCAAATTGAATACTTCCCTGTTCACACAGGCCTACTAGCTGGCATATGTGGAACTTTTCTTAAAGAGGATTAATACCACCAAGATACCAAGATTATGGAAAAGACTCCAGGCTGGCCTGCCTGAGCAAGTGAAATCCAGGCTAAAAAAAGATCTGCCCACCCCTCATCTAACTGAGTTTAGAGCATTTCCAAAGAGCAGGGTTACCTGTCATCCTGTACTATTCTTCCAAGTACATCAATGTGTGCTGACCAAGGAGCGAGGCTTTCCTATAGCCACAGACAATGTTTCTTTTTGCATCTGCTTTAAGGAGGTTGATTAATCAGACAAGAGTTGGCTACATTCACATATACTCTGTGAACCACTTTCTTTCAGGTTTCTATGTAGCTATTCCAATTGGGCTTCTGAAAGGTCCAACATAACTTTGATAGTGATATGATTAGAAAGGCTTTAGGACTTGCATGTATGACAATAGGACAGCACTAGCTATGCATTAAGTCACTAGATACAGATTGTTACAACCCAAAGAGGCTAGTGAACAGCATTGGTGACACGCAGGGAGACCCCTGAGATCGGCCATGCACCCCCTGGAAGCGTCAGCCACAAAACCAGGTCCCCCCTCAGCCTCCTCTTGCTGTTCAGCCTCAGCAAGAGAAGGCTGAGGGGGGACCTGGTGGCTGCCTACAAACTCAACAGGGGAAATCAACAGCAAATAGGTAGAGCCCTTTTCTCCCCATCACCACCTGGGGTGACGAGGAACAATGGTAATAAAGCCGATGGAAAACAGGTTTAGGTTAGAGATCAGAAGGCAATTTTTTACAGTTAGGAAATCTGGAACCAAATTCCCAGGGAAGTAGTCCCAGCCCCTACCTTGGGCAAATTCAAGAGGAGGTCGGATGATCTTATGAACCAAGCATTCATTCCTGCCTGTGACAGGGGTCAGGCTAGATGATCTGTTCAGGCCCCTCCTGACCCTAGCTACTATGAAACCGGAAGTACACTTCCAGTTTCACCGGTGGCTCAGCAATCTGCCACTGGGGGGACCCCCCCCCCC